CCCATTGACCTCATTTGCAAAAAAGGAAGGTCGAAAAACACGTTGAGGATCGATTTTGGTATTTTCGAACCCCAGATGCGAAAGTGTTGCTTAATGATGTAGGCATAGAGGAGGAAATGTGATTATCCACAAGAAAAATTTTCGATGTAATTCCGGATTATTTTCATGCATTTCAAGGACCCAATCAGCAAAGGCGGAACGTTTCTGATGATCAGCCAGCTTGATCTTGTTTTAACTGAACTTTATAAGGCTTAAGACCAAAGTCTTCATGCAAAATACAGTGAAATAACGTTCGTGACACGCCCAATTTCAAAGAATGGCGACGAATAATGAACTAACCTGGGTTTTCTCTACAACACGAGGGACTACATCGGCAATATTCTCAGGCATTCTTGAGCTAGACACAATGTGGTAATTGCGCTAAAAACACGCGCATAATTTATGCTGTGGTTTCAATATTATTTGATGAGACTTTCTTCGAATTTGGACATTTGAATTAAAATTGATCTAGGAATGGTATGCTATGCAAAATTTCTATATTTACTCTCCCTGGAACTGGCATACTACAGTCGGAAATTAAGATTTCTTGCAAAAGGAAATGCAAATATTGAACATTTTCCAACAGTTTGAGGTTATTTTCTCATTCTACATACAAAATATTACACCTTTCTAAGTCCATGACATGTGAAAACTTTTTATGGTAACTAAAATGTTGCGGATTTCTTTAATATATAAGAAAGACAATTTCTTCTTTATAAAACTTTCCTTGTGAAGTTTACTGAATAACTTCTTCTGTTGTATGATTTTTATTTAAATACGAAGGAGAAGGAAAACACTCAGCAATATTTATACCGGTTGTCCGTATGTATGTCTTCCCGTCTGCTTGGACGTAAACTACTCCGTTAGTTTTGTAGATATTTCAAATAAATTTGGTAAGCAGAGGTACATATATTTATACTGTATTGATCGTTTACCACTTATATATTATATTATATATCATTTTATATGTTTTTTAAATTTTGGGTTATTAATCCGCCAAAGAATATGGAAGAAGTTTGCCATTCTATATAGATTACCTCAAATTAGTAATTACACTGAATTCCATCCTTCTTAGAATCGACTTTTCAGATATCAAATTCGTGGTTAAGATCGTCAAAAAGGTGCGCAATACATAAAATTTTATATTTTCATAAAGGCATAGGTAAATTTTAAGACGATAGCTCGAATTCCTGGTCCGGACAACATCCAAAATTAATTTTTATAATTGAGGTCGCCCCTCCGCAGGGAATGTCAAGCCCTTCGAGTGAATTTCTGACATGAACTAAAAAAGCTTAATCTGTTGAACCCTTCATCTGTCATCAAGAGGGAAACCATAAATTGGAGGTGGAACTCGGCTAAAAATCGCTTCAACAGTTCCAAAGCACCAAATACATATATTTTTAATTAGTTCAAGGATTACTAAAAAAAAAAAATGTAGAAGTTTATGCCAAACAAAAATTATTATAAAAATTTTTTAATTTAGCAAATTTTGATCTGAAGACCTAAATTCAAATCGAAATATTGCAATATCATGCAGCCCACTGCAGATAAATTTGGTACCGTTTGCTATATAAAAGCTCCAACCATATGGATCTGCAGTATTTCGTTGATCTGCGGTGAGCAAAAAAAAAAGTTTTAAACCAAAGAATATTTGTTAATTTAAAAAAAAAAAAAAGTTAAATTTTTTGTAATAAGTTCGAACGCTTACATTTTCTAAACAAAAAAAATCTGCAAATTGCATTAATATTTAGGTGTCACGTGACAATGCCGTTCAAGCGTACGCTTAAGAGGACGCGCACCCCAGCCCATGCAGCTATAAAAGCCGTGCTTGCTGAAAAATTGATGAGATTTCTTAACCTATCAACTGCAAACGCGCACGAGGCGACAATATTTCAAATTAAATTAAATTTATTATATACATATGTAATAAAGTCACATAGAAACTTCCATACATATATGTACACACATATTTTGTAAATAATCAAAACACGCATTTGCACACATAACGTCAAAGCTTCTACAAATTATTACTAATTAATTTAAAATAAACATTTATACAAATATATAAAATCGAATACGCAATTAAACAATTCTCAAACCCAAAAAAATTAAAGTTCTGGAGCCCAACTTCCAATGGGTATTCCTCTGGAGTACGTTTGGTCGCTTTTATCGCGTTAAAGCTCTACTGAAACCAATAAATTTCCCTTTGTGCGACGTCACGTCTTCACATCACTAAATTTTTACCACTGATTCTGTATAGCGGTGCGACAAAGTGCTTCACGTCGACCGTAAAATGTTTTAATACTACGATCCGTCTCTGCCAGTTTTTTCCATCATTTTTATAGTGAATTTTATTAATTTTAATGCGTTGTTGAAGCGTTCATAGTACCATTTTTGGTACTAGTGTAGTTTTTACTTCTAAAACATCAAAAAATTAAAGTTTCAAAAGTGACCTCTACCGGACAAGCTGGCTATTCAAAATTACACCTCTTAATGGAAAATCCTTTACATAACGCACGGTCCAAGAAAAAACTGATTAAAGAATGGTTATTAAAAAAGGCGGATAAATTTTTGCCGCGGTTCGACGAACTCTTTATTAACTGTAAAATGAGTAATCATCTTGCAGTTGCAGTTGAAGACTCGCCACATTAGTATGAAGTACTCAACAATTCCGATTTTCTTCAATCGTGAGCTAACCATTTCGTAAACCTCATGTCTTGTACTGATTATTTCATCCATCGAGAATGTCTTTGGATTTATAAACAAGAATTATGAACAACCTGCGACCACGCCGATGTCTTTATACCTTTCATGACCAATGCCTAAAATTTGATTTGGTATTTCATTTAGGGATTAAATATTAATTCTCATATCTGAAAACTCGGTTTGGGGAGAGCTATATTTATTTGTTATTAGTTTCCGTAACCGGTTCAGGTACTGTAAATAGCCTTGGGAAATCAGCTGGGTCAGTTGAGTACGGCCTGAATTCGGAGTAAGGGTGTGTTAAACTATAATATATTAAAATTTTTGGGATGCAGCTTTTTATTGCGGATTCCCACAAAATAACCAATGTGTGGGAAGCTGGATGGTATTCGATGCCTTAGGGGGCATACTTCTGTATGATGTCTGTATAGCATGCACTAAGGAATTTAACGAATTATCGCTCAGTAGCTCTCTTTGCTTCGATGAATATTTTCTCTTTAGCACTCAGAAAGGTATCTTCGCCTGCCCACGAACCGGCCGAATGCCGCTCTAAATGTCTCAGTAGTGAGATCAGTGCACAATTGCACAAAGTGTACAGCCTTCATCGCAGAGCAGACTCGTTAACTAGCGAAATACTATCGAGACTTTTAACATAAACTGCCGTGCAAAGCACAATCCGGTTGTGTATAAGGGGAGGGACATTATGCAACGCTCAGTCTGCTGTTTATACGAATAAAGCCATCCTTATTTAATGGATTCAGAGTCCAGATTCAGAGATTCCTTCCCGAAGTGGCATTCTGCGTTTGTCAGTTGTGGCACAGTAAGTCCTTTTTACTTACTTATGCTGGACGCGAACTGCTCGAGCGATCAAGAAAATCGGGCTCTTCTTCGAACATGTGGTATGCTTCTGTTATGCGCTTCACTGACGAAGAGGTACTGTGTGCCTCGGTATGAGGCCACAAATCAAGATACGAATGTAAAATAAAAACAAAATTCTACACTCTAAGATGTTTTTACTGCGGAAGTATAACTCTGAATCTCAAAACTGAAAAATCGATCGTTAGTTGGTTCAACTAACATCCAGAATTATAAGAAATTGGTTTTTCTAATTACGGCCTCCCCTCGGGAGGGAATGTCCTCGTAAATATTCATCGACCATTCCGAGGCGGCTTAGAATAAACTGTAGGTCCCACCCTAGACGCATACCGAAAATCCCGTTTTTAGATATAGCTCAAGAAGATGCCACTGTCCATCTGATTGATGGCCAAAAAAATGAAAGCGGATAAGCGGCCATATAAAGGCGCACAAATTTGGTACTGTCCATCAAGACGAAACTATGATTTGTTTACACACACGCCCTTCCTGGAAAAAAGTACGGTGTCGACAAAAATGATCTCTTTCCTTCAGCACCGATGAGGAATCATGCCCAAGTGGTTTGAGGTTGCAAGGAAGGTTTGTCGAAAAGCCTTAAGCGGAAGCTGTCAATACCGGAGTCTAATCATGTAGCAACCGGTGAGGCATTCTAAAACGGCTAAATATAAGGTCTTAGGAGGCAATTGAAAAGTAACATCCAGTGCCGACGAACCAGAACCAAACTCTACAGAAGAAGCGTAGACGATGTCGATAACCAATGAGGCGACCCAAGAACTCTTCGAGAATAAATGTTTGCGAAGAACTTATGGTCCTTTACGCATTGACGACGGCGAATACCGCAGATGGTGGAATAATGAGCTGTACGAATTATGCGTTCACATTGATAGAGATCAGTGAATGAAAAGACAGCGGCTGTGCTGGCTAAATATTGTTTTCCGTATGAAGGAAAGCACTCCAGCTGGAAAGCATTCGATGCCGCAGTACCCGCCGGTGAAATCACAGTCCACTTCCTGTCCTCCATTCCGTTGGAAGGATCAGGCGTAGAGCGACCTGGTTGTAACTGGTATTTCCAACTGGTGCCCAAACAGAGAGGGGAAGGGATAAATAGCACGATATGGTTGATTTGGCTGTAAGCCCTTAAGTGGTGAGGGAGAAGAATTAAAAATGTTGACGACGATTACGGTGATATTGAAAAGAACACGTCGTTGCAGGGAAAACAAGAAGCGACTGGTGCGATATTGATTATCAAGGAAGAGAAGAAGAAGAAGAAGAAGAAGAAGAAGAAGAAGAAGAAGAAGAAGAATGTATATACATACATATATGAGTATATAGATCCGTCAACCAAGTATACCCCAACTTAATTATCCTTAAAAAAAAATTGAAAATTTATGGTTTGATGTTCTTTATTTATCATCTGGAAAACATCTGGAATGAATGAACATAACATGATCTTGCTTATTTTAATTTTCTAATACATAGGTACATATAAGTTTACGACACACAATTATGTATCTCATTGTAATTCATAATACTCTTTTATATTTACATATTTACAAAAAAAAAATTATCAATTTAATGCCAGCTCTTCTGGGTTTCTTTTCATGATACTAAAATAGGGAGTGTGTTTCTGCAATATCATAAAATATTAAATGATTGGTGACCATTCCTTCACTACAAAGCTTATTTTCCACCAGACTCCATGGCGCTGGAACGCCTAATTTGCTAAAACCATCAAATTTATGAGCAACACCAAGGCGCCAGAAAATATTCATTTGCTATTTGTGATTATTTTTGGAAAATTTATTAATTTTTGATATTTATAAATTTGTTAATAATAAATTAATGATGAAAAAATCAAAAACGGATTTATCTCCCATTCATTAATATGGCTGACAGCTGAAGCTAACTCCTTTCTTATAACATGAAATATTTCATTTTTTTTTTGTTTTTGGGATTTTTTCAAAATTCTCTATAAATAATAATTATTTAATTACTTGACACATATTTAAATTAAACATAAACTTACTTCATGATAGAAAACAAAAGTCGTAAACGGATAACGGGAGCCATGTGCTTGGCAATGGAAACAGTTAACAGTTCTTTCAAAGACAATACCAGCAAGTTCTTTAGTGTGAACGTATTATTAAGGGGGGATGAAAATCAGTGGTATAAACCATTGATCAAATTAAACTTAAGCAACAAACAAACAAACAAACACTATTTCTATTGTAATATGTAATTGGCGTTTCAGAACAACGCTTCTCCCCGATTTGTGGCGCGCGTCCATAAGTAGTGTACTCGTATACCTAAAATGGAAGTGCCCACTCAGCTCAGCTCTCTTAACACCGAACAAACAGGACACACAATAATGACTAAATCTTGTATGTCTCTACAAGTATGTTGTTGTACATGTAATCTCAGCTGAATTCAGAAATGAAAAATTGGTTTAAATATTGTAAATAAGCTCCAGCTCCAGCTCCAGCTCCAGCTCCAGCTCCAGCTACTAGCTCCCAGCTCCAGCTGTTTATGGAAACTACAACTAAAATTGACTAACGCACTCTTCAAGCCGTGGCGTGTGAGTGTTGGTATGCGGCTGCAGTAGCCCAAGGACTGGACGCGTGATGATGGAAAGCGCCAGCGCTGGCATAATTCGAACTAGCGCTGAAATCCGCATAGCCAGCATATTCCGTTTTCATTTGCATTTGCAGGAGGCCAGGGTAGGTGTGAGGTGATGTAGCATGTTGAGGCTGCTGATTTACTGGTGAGGGTGAGCTATTGGAGTTGCCAGGTGAGCCCATGATGAGACCATATTCGGCGGCCAATTGTGATTCGCTTTGCATGGCGAGTGTGGCATAATGTTGGCTACTGGTTGCTGTAGTTGATAAATTGGACTGTATTCCCTGTTGTTGTTGTTGCTGCTGCTGCTGCTGCTGCTGTTGTTGAAGGTTAGATGTAACTGTTGTTGAGGTAGTTTCATTGTTGGTACTGTTAGTTACAGGACTCGAAAGCATTGATTGATCCCGAGTTATGGCACTGCGATTTATTTGTTGTTCTTGCTGTTGACGTTGCTGTTGTTGTTGTTGTTGTTGCTGTTGCTGCTGTTGTTGCTGTTGCTGATAAGCGTAATGGTTATTCCACAAATCAATAGCGGCGCCGCTGTTTATAGGTGAAGCGGACGTTACGTAGGAAGCGGATGTGCCTGGTTGTTGCTCATGCTGTTGTGCAATATGTTGCTGAAAACTACTAGCGTAGACGCCTGAACCAGTTAGATGATGCGGATGTTGGAAAGCAAAATTTGAGTATGTATTATAGGTATTCATTGCTTCTGCCTGCTCCGACTTCAACGATTGTTGATTTATTGGTGACATAGGCAGCGAGCGTCGGGCCGCAGAAACAGTAGCTGGGTCAGGCGATTTCGATACACCATTATTTCCATTGGCCACCATCTTTTGCGCCGGTTGTCCACTGGTCTGTCTGTTCTGTGAGGGCTTTGAACTACTTGAGCTGCCAGCATTTGCTTCAGCTATTTTTTCTTGCTGACTCTGTGCTGATTTCTCCGCCTTAGCGGGTGAAGCATTTTGCTGCTTCGCTTCGGCTGCAAGTTCTTTCTTGGTTTTTTTCTCTTTAAAATGTGTTTTTTTATGTTTGCTTAAATGATCGCTGCGTGAGAATTTCTTCGAACAAATTGGGCAAGCATATGGCCGGTAATTGGTGTGAGTCCGTCCGTGTCGTTGCAACTCATCCGAACGAGAAAAACGCTTGCGACAAGTTAAGCACAAGAACGGTCTTTCGCCGGTGTGCCAACGCAAGTGTGTCTTCAAATGCGAAGCTTTTCCATACAACCGTTCACAGCCAGGTATATGACAAATATGTTGTTTGCGACCACGTTCGTCTGGTCCTACGATGGGTGGCAAGCCGGCCATTTCATTAGCGCAATTGGGGCATGTGCATCGCGCTGTGCGGCGCTGCAACTGTGACTGGAAGGCAATTTCATCGAAATTAAAAGCTGGATACGCCTGGCCCGACCAAGGCTGATAGATACGCTCTTGTGAAAACCAGGCGCTGTTATTATAGTATTCCGGCGCATATTGAGCGTATGGAAATTGTGCGCTGCAATGGAAAAAAGGAGAAAAAAATAAATTAATCAATTGAAAAATTTAAAAGCGGATTTAACGGAAATGAAGGAAATGCACAAATGGCAGTTTACTGGCCTGGTAAGCAATACATCTCCGCCAACCCCCAACTAACTTAATAAATATTACAGAACACAAGTAACATAACATAAAACTTACCGTGTAGGCAGCGCTGCTGCGGCTGAATAGGTGCTCCAGGAATAAGCTGCACTTGCTGCTGCAGCCGCACCCAACTCATGTGTGGTTGCAGCGGCTGCTGCAGCTGCAGCTGCGCTAGCATGGGCAGCCGCAGCGTGTATAGAGTTTGGCGAGCCGGAAAGCGGCGATACTGATGATGATGTTGCCATTGCCGGTGGGCTCGAGGAAATGGATTGGGCGGGAGATGGATATATGCTCCTTGGTGAGACAGATGCCGATGAAATTCCCGACTGTAGGCTCGATACCGGCGAAGCAGTACCGGTTGAGGACGCCTGTGACGGATATTGCATTTCCATCTTCATTCCAAGTGCACCACCTGCTACTTGTGATGCTGTATTTGGGGATTTCTGTACATAAATAGGGACAAAATCGTTGGTGCCTCTACCGAAGCCATTTAGGTGTGTATTGCAATTTGTGCCCGAATGATTGGACAAAGGTGAATATTCTGCTGGCATTGGATTGGTTGTAGTTGATGCTGCGGCAGCGGTGAATGACTGTTGCTGTGACTGGTGATATTGATTGTTTATATTAACTGGCGGCATACTTGCGGCAGCAGCAGCAAGTGAAGCTGTCGCATAGGGATTTAAATAATTGCAAGCAGCGTCAATCATTTTCCTTAATAGCTCACAGAGCTATCTACTATGTACGTTTTTTTATAGAAACACTTAACGTCGCTATAGGTATTAATGTACGCAGTTGTGTATATATCGACTTGTCCAAAATGATGGATGGATGCAGCTTCTGCTAACACTTTTGATATATTTACTTAATTCTTGTTTGTCATACTTTTCTATTTGTGTTTTTTTTTTTTTCAGTTTTTATTTTATATTTCACTTTGTGCAGATTTATCAAAATTGTATATATGTTTTCTACTTCTTATTTTCGCTTGTAATATGACGCTTTTTATTTTATTTTCCTTTATACACTCTTCCTACTTCATTATGGCACACTTTACACTTGCTATCGCACACTGTGATTATAGCTTTAGTCGCTCGCCGTGGGTGCAGTATATAATTAAGCGTTCTTTTGCACTAGAACTGCCGTTGGGAACAATATCAAATCATTTTTATTATTTTTTGTTTGTATAAATTTGCTTTCACTTTCAAAGGCCGTTCACAAAATGTTATGATATTAATTTTTCACTTGTTCTTGTTCTCGTTCTTGTCTCTTTCATTTGAAACTTATTTTTCATAATTACAATTTCTTTTAAATCGTACGCGCACGCATTAATCAATATTTTTAATTTAATTACAATTTTTATTATTTTTTTTCCAAATTTACGTCGGCTTTGCTCGTTGGTTATAAAACTGTTCACTGCCCAAAATGTACACAAATTCTTATTTTATTTATTGTTCTTCTTGCTGTTGTTGTTGATGCAATTTACTTTAATTCGTAATTTTGCAAAACACAAAAAAAAAAACACGAAATCGGTGCAAGATGATGACGTTAGCTGTGGACATGGTTATCGGCTACCATGGACGCCCGTACAAAATAATAATGACGCTCACGATGACGGCGTTCCGTAAATTGCGCCGCAAACGCGTTGACTAAAATAATTGCTAGTCTAGTGGTGTTGGAACAGAGTGTTTGTCTGTTTGTTTGCTATACCAGCTAAGCACTGTATTTCATGGAGATATAACCAACCGTAATTATCGTTGCCGACTGAATTCCAAAACGCAACGAGAGAGTCCAAACACTGCCAAACGCCGACCGAACGAATGTCGAACGAAAATCCAAAAAGAAAAACGACTCAGACCAGCAACTACACTACAAGAGGTGTGTACGAAGAGGTTTTGCTTCAACAAATGACTGAGTGTGTGTACGCGTTGTTTTATGTGTGAGTATACAGAATTGGTGGTAGTTCCTCACTTTGTTGGTAGTTGTTGTTTTGTATTTTTGGTGGTTGCTTCTTGCACTATAATTGAGTATATATTTCGTTATGTTTATTTGTATGAATTTTTGTGTATATTTATATATATGTATTTGAGTGATGAACTCAGTGTCGAACAGTCAATAGTTCAAGATGTTGTGCGACTATACGAAGTGTTTTGTATTTGATGACGGGGTAGAGAGTGTGTTATATGCGTTGCGCGTACACTCTATACATATATGTAGAAATAAGTAAATAAGTAGGGGTGTGAACGAGATAGCAATAGTATAAGCAACATAATGCCAGGACTAATATGTAGATACATATGTGTGTAGGTAAAATGTATTTAGGTATATGTTTGGTCGGTGGCAAGCAGTATAATGCGTAAAACAATAATTTACTGCTGGTGGCTATATAGAGACACTTCCAGTTTCTGGATGTCTCTTTCTTGCCTGCGGTCATAAAAGGCGTTAATTTTCTTCGTCGGATTAACTAAAACTAAATACTTTTTATCAACCTGTAAGAGTTTTGTTACATTCCAAATACAGGCCAGGCAGTGTGTCAAATCAATTACCTATTTTCTGTATGCAACTATGTTTGTGTATAAATATAAAAGTTGTATTGAACAGTTAATAATTTAAATGCATACTAAGTACCTACCAACCTACAGCTACACATCTTTTATTTTTAATAATTATTAAAATTAAATATATTTTTTTTTATGTTTTATTACTTTTTTATTATTTTTTTTTGTACGTTCATACATATGTACATATGTTTGTTTGTATGTTTGTATGCATTTATGTATGCATGTGTGTATACATGTATACATGTATATGCCCACACATGTGCCTATAAATGTGTCTCTTATTTATTTTGAAACTACATATGTATGTATGTAATGTCTTATGTCGACAAATAAAGGATTGAAATTCCCTTTTTTAGACAGTTAAAATACTTTAGAATTTCACTGTTAGCAATTATGAACCCAAAGAGTTGCTATGCGAGCTGCGCTTCTGCGTATTCATACATACATACATCTGTATGTACATATGTATACAACCTTATGTAATAAATTCAAATGTTTGACCGTAATTTGCGGAGCATTTTCACGTAATTGTTTAGAGACAATTCGCTAAATAGAAAGATTAGAATATTTTAAACTGTTTAAACAAACAATTTTTCTATACTAGTTAGCACTAAAAAAATTAGTTTCGAACCGTTTTTCTAAGAAACTATAAAAATAGCTGATTTTTATTATCCAAATATATACATACATACATAAGTATACATATATAAGTATGTATATTTCATCTCTAAGAAATCAATTTAAATTTTGGTAGGTCATGCTTGTGAAAGTCCACACTCAGAGTACGCAAAATATAAAACAAGATTTTCTCAAATATAATATATTTAATACTAAATTCTCCATAAAATTGTTTTATTTAAAAGTGATTAATGTTCTTTAAGAGAAGAAGTAGCATAAAAAAGACGAAATACTTTGAATGTCAGATAGCCAGGAAGTCGACAACGAGAAGAGAATGCAACTACTATTTTTAATTGTTTTATCTTATACCTACCTATATGCATACATATATACATATGTACATCCATATCCATATGTATTGTATATACTCAAACAAATGTTTTTTTTTGTATAAAAATTGCATTTCCAGGCACTTGCACTAAATGCTTTCCCAAAATGTAATATTTTTTTTTTTAAAACAAACCTAAATATAATTAATTTTTAAAATATAATTTAAAAATATCAAAAGTTGCACTGAAGTAAAATTTAAGACAACTAATCATCAACGCTATAAAGAGAGCATTATTTCCTTATATGTATGTATATACGTTGATGCGAAGCTACTACTAATTTAGGAATTTGCTCGAATTAGGGGAACCTATTTTTTTATATATATTTTATATTTTTTCACTTATTCTCGTTTAAGAAAATGTTTTTGCATTCATATCGAGTATTTTCTTTCAGTGTAAAAACATACTTACATACAACTGTATGTATAAAAATGTAAATTAAGGAGAAAAAAATATTTTTCAGATACATGCAAAGCGCACATACATACAAATGTATTTTCACATTTTCATATATATGTAGGTGAATATGCTTTATGTTAACTTTTCACTGAAGTGAAAAGTGTTAAGCATTCAAAGAAAACGTAACAAAAATTATAATACTGTCTTTCCCTGTATATATATATGTATGTACATATGTGCTTACATTTGTATTTATCATAATACGGGCAAAAATTGGTGACCATCCCCATCGCTTTATGCAACTTTTAGTGTAAGTAAGTACGTACATATGTACATATGTATGTGTGTATGTAAGAAAATATCTCCGCAAATATTTTTTAATGCATTAAACTGATATTTATGTTTCTACATAACCATTCACAAATGCATACATACGTATTATACGTATGTACATGTATGTATGTATGTAGGTAAATAGGGAAAATTCCTAAACAGTAATTGAAAAGTACTCTCTTCAGCAAAACACAAACTCATAAGCTGCAAATGTTAAAAAAAAAACAGAACCAACATACATCTATGTATGTGCATATGTACAACTTTAGCATACATATTTATATATATCAGATACTACACACACATGTACATATGTATGTATGCATGTACGTAAGTACGATAGTAATACACATATGCAACTAAATCCATAAGTATGTACATGCATAAATATAATAAAAGCAACAACATATGTACATACATATTTATAAAAATCAGCCAAATACTCATTACATGTGCATCATATGAAAAACACAACTAAATAAATCATAAATGAGTAATATGGAACAAAAAAAATGGGGATTGAAATAAATTTTGTGGTTGTAGCCCAATGAAATAACTGTATTTAAAGGGGCGTTGCCAAACACCAATGTAGTAGCAGCAATAACAACAATAACAACAAAAAAATGGGCAAGGAGCGGCAGCAGCCACATTGCCACCGACTAATAATCACTGCCACAAGCAAACCATCACGTGTGTGTTAGAGAGTAAAAGATAGAGAGAGAGAGAGAAAAGAGAGAGAGAGAGAACACTTAGAGAGTTGTACGGAATTTATTGAGAGTTGCTCTCTGAGTACTACTTTTACCTTGCAATACACCACTCAACATCGTCACACGCCCTGCTCCAACCCTTCATATGCACTCACACTTTTATACTTACATACCAACATTTATCAAAATCGCAAAACACGTGCCAACTCTTTTTATTCCCATTGCATGTCTCTCGAAATAACAAATTTCAAGTAAGAATAGATTTTTAAGTAAGCGATTCGAAAATTATGCACTTCTTGCAAGGCGAATTAATAAGGCAAGTTGAAGAATGTCTAGGCATTATGTTTGTTATATGTATGTACATACATTGCTTTTGCACATGCATGCACACACATATTGAATTTGTTTGTTTTTCTACTGCTTTTTAGCTTTATTGCATTCACTTTACTTTCTTGTTGATTTAAGTAAATACATACTTTATTATTTACATACACACATACATATGTATGTACTTAGGTACCCAACATAAATGATATTTTCAATAATTACACCGAATTTATTTAATTAATTATACCGAAATATTAATATTTTTTATAAGTTTTGCATATATACAACGTGTTTACACATTTTGTTTACTTTAATAAGTAAAATGCAGTGAATGACCGCTAGAGTAGAGAAGAGTGTGCTGCCACAATGCCTTTGAAGTGTTAGTAGGGTAAGTCAAGCTATTGAACGCATAGCACATAGTAACCAAAAAGTGCTACGGTTTTTTCTTTTTTAACAAAAATAATAAAACTTGTAATAATTTTATATAAAAAATAAATGTATTCGAAGAAGGAATTAATTAATAAACTTATAAAGGGTGTTGTTTTAGGTATTATGTTTTTGACAACACTAGTTTAAACAGCTGACTCACGTCTCGTGTTTTGTATCACTGTCGTACATCTTCAGTTTGGTCTATCGCGCTTTTTTATCGTAAAATTGTGTTCAGCGACTAAGCTAATTTTTGACTTAATTAGTGCGTAAATAAGCAGAATTATCGATTTTGGATTGAAGATCAGCCAGAAGCATTGCAAGAGCTACCAATGCATCCAGAAAAAGTCAAAGTTTGGTGCGCCTTATGTGACATCATCGGACCGTACTTCTTCAAACATGATGCGAATCGTAACGTAACTGTGGTTGGTGAGCGCTACCATGAGATGATACCAAGCTTTTTATTTGCCAAAAATGAAGGAGCTTGACTTGCATGACACGTGGTTTCAACAAGACGGTACCACATGCCACACAGCACGCGTAACAATGGACTTATTGAGAAGCGAGTTCGGTGAACATTTTATTTCACGTTCGAGACCGATCCGTTGGCCGTTTAGATTTTGCTAATTAACGCCTTTAGACTATTTTTTGTGGGGCTATGTTAAGTCTAATGCCTATACAGACAAGCCCGTTTTAATTGAAGCATTGGAGGCCAACATTGAAGGATTTAAACGTGAGATACCGGCCGAAATGTTGGAAAGGGTATACCAAAATTGGACTAAGCGGATGGACTATTTGAGGCGCTGTCACAGTCAACATTTGCATGAAATAATCCGCAAACATTAAATTATTGGATGAGTGCATAAGTTCGTGCCCGATTTCAAGTGCAAAATAAAATTGAATTTTTTTGAAGAAAGCGCTTTTATTAATCAATTATTTATTCGCCATCATGTTCGGCAATCCACTCCCAACGTTCAACTAATTTACGAATGCCTGATTCATAGAAATCGCGCGGTTTCTCGTTGAAAAAGGTGTCAAGGTGGTTTTTGACGTCTTCCACATTTTTAAATTTTTTTCCATTCAAATTGTTCTGCAGCGATCGAAACAAATGATAATCAGAAGGTGCAATGTCGGGTGAATATGGGGGATGCGGCATGATTTCCCAATTCATCTCCTTCAGTTTGGCCAGGGTCGGTTTTGCAACATGTGGCCTGGCGTTGTCATGATGGAAAAGAACTCCTTTGCGATTGGCCAAAATCGGACGTTTTTCATCAATTGCTTTCTTCAATTCGACCAATTGCTGACAATACTTGTTGGCAGTGATCGTTTCTCCAGCTGGCAAGAGCTCAAAATAGATCACGCCTCGGATATCCCACCAAATGCACA